GTGACTTCGGAGCCTTGTGATGTCGGCCAGATGTAGTAAGTAGACAGGTATTTGATGTCTCAATGTCTCTCTGTCTGTCTGTCTCTCTCTCTGTCTGTCTCTCTCTCTCTCTCTCTCTCTCTCTCTCTCTCTCTCTCTCTCTCTCTCTCTCTCTCTCTCTCTCTCTCTCTCTCTCTCTCTCTCTCTCTCTCTCTCTCTCTCTCTCTCGCTCTCACACACGCACACACACACGCTTCTCCCCCCACCCTTGGGAGCTGGTGGCCGAGCGAACATCTCGCTAGACATGTGATCCTGTGGTCCCGGGTTCGATCCCGGGCGCTGGCGAGAATCGATGGGCAGAGTTTCTTTCACCCTATGTCCCTGTTACCTAGCAGTAAATAGGTACCTGGGAGTTAGTCAGCTGTCACGGGCTTCTTCCTGGGGTGTGTGTGGTGTGGGGAAAAAAATGTAGTAGTAGTAGAAACAGTTGATTGACAGTTGAGAGGTGGGCCGAAAGAGTAGAGCTCAACCCCTGCAAGCACAACTAGGTGAATACAACTAGGTGAATACACACACACAAACAATCACACACACACTTATCAACCTGTCCTCTTAAAAATAACGTCGTTTTTGGCTGTTTGCCCGTATGGCCGAAAGTGGACGTAATTTGAAAATAAGAAAAAATTAAAATAAATTTGGATTTTTTTTTTCAACAACAGTAAGTTGAGGGTGCTCTGATAGGTTAAGTTGGTTGGAAATTCTCATAAGTTTCAAAACGTTATGAAAAACGTTAATTGAAAGTTTCCTCTCCTAACCTTACCGAGTAAGCCGGACGACTCAAACAGAAAACGGGACAGCACGTCACTTTTGTGAGTCGATTTCATTTCAAATTACGTCCATTTTTGTTCATAGCGCGCATACCAGCGAAAAGCGACGTTATTTTTAAGAGGACGGGTTGGATACTATGCAAGGTTATGGTGAAGATCGTGAGAGAAAACCTAGTTACACATCTGGAGAGAAGAGACTTCGTGACAACTCATCAACATGGGTTCAGGGAAGGTAAATCTTGCTTTACAGGCTTAATAGAATTCTACGATCAGGTGACAAAGATTAAGCAAGAAAGAGAACGATGGGCGGACTGAATTTTTTTGGACTGTCGGAAAGCCTTTGACACAGTACCCCATAAAAGGTTGATGCATAAGCTGGAGAAACAGCCAGGAGTAACTGGTAGGGCGCTCCAGTGGATAAGGGAGTACCTAAGCAATAGGAAGCAGAGAGTTACAGTGAGGGGTGAGACCTCAGATTGGGGTGAAGTCACCAGTGGAGTCCCACAGGGCTCTGTACTCGAATCTATCCTGTTTCTGATATTCGTAAATGATCTCCCATAGGGTATAGACTCAATGTTTGCTGATGACGCCAAAATTATGAGAAGGATTAAGACAGAGGAGGACAGCTTGAGGCTTCAAGAAGACCTGGACAAACTGCAGGAATGGTCGAACAAATGGTTATTAGAGTTTAACCCAAGAAAATGAAATGTAATGAAGATAGGTGTAGGGAGCAAGAGACCAGATACAAGGTATCATTTGGAAGATGAAATACTTCAAGAGTCAGAGAGAGAGAAAGACCTAGGGGTTGATATCATGCCAGACCTGTCCCCTGAAGCTCATATCAAGAGGATAACATCAGCGGCATATGCCAGGTTGGCTAACATAAGAACGGCCTTTAGAAACTTGTGTAAGGAATCTTTCAGAACATTATATACCACATATGTCAGACCAATCCTGGAATATGCGGCTCCAGCATGGAGTCCATATCTAGTCAGGCATAAAACTAAACTGGAAAAGGTTCAAAGGTTTGCCACCAGACTATTACCCGAACTGAGGGGTATGAGCTACGAGGAGAGACTACGGGAATTAAACCTCACGTCACTGGGAGACAGAAGGTGTTAGAGGGGACATGATCACCACATACAAGATTCTTAGAGGAATTGATAGGGTAGATAAAGACTTTTTAACACAAGGGGCACACGCACTAGGGAACACAGGTGGAAATTGAGTGCCCAAATGAGCCAGAGAGACGTTAGAAACAATTTTTTCAGTGTCAGAGTAGTAGACAAATGGAATGCATTAGGAAGTGATGTGGTGGAGGCTGACTCCATACACAGCTTTAAGTATAGATATGATAGAGCCCAGTAGGCTCAGTAACCTGTACATTAGTTGATTGACGGTTGAGAGGCGGGACCAAAGAGCCAGAGCTCAACCCCCGCAAGCACAATTAGGTGAGTACAATTAGGTGAGTACACACACACACACACACACACACACACACACACACACACACACAATCCCCACACACACACACAATCCACACACACACACACACACACACACACACACACACACACACACACACACACACACACACACACACACACACACACACACACACACACACACAATCCCCACACACACACACAATCCACACACACACACAATCCACACACACACACACACACACACACACACACACATCAGAACGGCGTTCAGGAACCTGTGTAAGGAATCATTCAGAATCTTGTACACCACATATGTAAGACCAATCCTGGAGTATGCGGCCCCAGCATGGAGCCCGTACCTTGTCAAGCACAAGACGAAGCTGGAAAAAGTCCAAAGGTATGCTACTAGACTAGTCCCAGAACTAAGAGGCATGAGTTATGAAGAAAGGCTGCGGGAAATGCACCTCACGACACTGGAAGACAGAAGAGTAAGGGGGGACATGATCACAACCTACAAAATCCTCAGGGGAATCGACCGGGTAAACAAGGATGAACTATTCAACACTGGTGGGACGCGAACAAGGGGACACAGGTGGAAGCTGAGTACCCAAATGAGCCACAGAGACGTTAGAAAGAACTTTTTCAGTGTCAGAGTAGTTAGTAAATGGAATGCATTAGGAAGTGATGTGGTGGAGGCTGACTCCATACACAGTTTCAAATGTAGATATGATAGAGCCCAATAGGCTCAGGAATCTGTACACCAGTTGATTGACGGTTGAGAGGCGGGACCAAAGAGCCAGAGCTCAACCCCCGCAAGCACAATTAGGTGAGTACAATTAGGTGAGTACACACACACACACACACACACACACACACACACACACACACACACACACACACAATCCCCACACACACACACAATCCACACACACACAATCCACACACACACACACACACACACACACACACACACACACACACACACACACACACACACACACACACACACACACACACACACACACACACACAATCCCCACACACACACACACACCACACACACACACACCACCCACACACACACACACACACACACACACACAATCCACACACACACACAATCCACACACACACACAATCCACACACACACACACACACACACAAATCTGTTTTATTGTGAGTGGAATCATTTATTTTGTGTAAAGAATGAATATGTTTCCAATTGTCGAGGAGTTGAAACCTGATAGACCAACACATGCAGCAGCTCCATAACACCTGACTAACTCCCGGGTACTTATTTACTGTTAGGTGAACAGAGGCACCAGATTCAAAGGAAAGTGTCCATTCGTTTCGTCCTGCCCAGGAATCGAACCCGGGACCACTCGGTTGTCTTATGAGTAGTGACGATATCACTAGATATTTATAAATGTTCCCATGGCATAGTTGCCGCAATGTGTGATATCGGGATTGGGTTAATTGTGTTGTTGACGTATTGTTTGATATCTTTATATAATGGATATAGTGATATCTTAAGGTAATTGCTATATATTTTGATATTCTGAGGTAGTTGCCATATTTGATATCTTGAGGCAGTTGCCATATTGTTTGATGTCCTGATGGTGTTGCAATATTTGATATGTTAAGTAGTTGCTCTATTTGATATCTTGAGGTAGTTGCCATATTTGATATCTTGAGGTAGTTGCCATATTTGATATCTTAATGTAGTTGTCATATTTGATATCCAGAGGTAGTTGTCATATTTGATATCTTAATGTAGTTACCATATTTAATATCTTAAGGTAGTTGCCATATTTTACGTCTTGATGTAGTTGCCATATTTGATATATTGAGTTAGTTGCCATATTTTATATATTGAGTTTGTTTGCCATATTTGATAGCATGAGGTAGTTGCCATATTTGATATCTTGAGTGAGTTGCCATATTTGATATCATAAGGTAGTTGCCATATTTGATATCTTGATGTAGTTGATATATTTGTCTTATACTACAGGTATCATGTAATATGAAATTCCACGTATATTTCCATCAACTATTAGGTAGTTTTGATGTCGCGAAGGTAATTCTCACATCATTTCGTAATAATTAATTAAAACAATTTGATATTGTTCGGTAGTTGGAAAATGCCTTGAGGCAGTTGTCATACTGAGGGGTAGTTATGTGCATTTTATTTTATAGATTATATAGATTATTTTATAGATATTGACGATAATTCACTTGTGTGAATGTTATCTGATGTTGTGTTTTGGTTACATCAGCTGTAAGGACCGGCCTGGGGGATGTTGTGATACCCCGGAACGGCCCTGGCCGCCACAAGCCCCGCCTTCGCCCCGGAACACCAATCACCAGCTTCCGCCCCCGCCCCAGGCCCCGCCCCCGCCGCGGAACACCAATCATCAAGCTCTGCCGCCAGTGCAAACTCCGCCCATTTACCCCCATGTTCTACCTCTCTGGGCAAACTGGTACTTCTGGTGAGTATATTGACAGATGATTAATTTAACTTTATTTAAATATTTACAGTATTCTATAGGTCACGCAGAAATAAATACAGAGGTATATGGCATTTTATAGCCAAACCGGTTACCAAAACTTGATCCCAACCCAGAACTCAAAGGAATACATTCGAGAAGAGAAAATGCTTTTTCACCCACAGGGTTGAAAAAAACATGGAACCGCCTACCCGCAACTGTCAAAACTTTAATAACTTTTAAAGTACAACTGGAAAAGTTCATCAAAGCAAATGGGTAGACTTTCGACAAGCCGCCGGCTTCCTGTCTTCGTCGAGGCCACTAGTGTTCGTTTGGCTCTTAGGTAAATTCAGGTAAATAAATACGCTAAATCCTTAGAGAACTGGATGGGCATAACAACATATATTTATCCCCCAGACTTCGCACTGAAACAGTAAAAAATTACAACAAATTGTAAGTTGAGAAACAATCTTCAACTGACAATTTCAAAGGGGGAGCCGTTCTGCCGAGCGGACAGCACGCGGGACTTGTGATCCTGTGGTCCTGGGTTCGATCCCAGGCGCCGGCGAGAAACAATGGGCAGAGTTTCTTTCACCCTATGCCCCTGTTACCTAGCAGTAAAATAGGTACCTGGGTGTTAGTCAGCTGTCACGGGCTGCTTCCTGGGGGTGGAGGCCTGGTCGAGGACCAGGCCGCGGGGACACTAAAGCCCCGAAATCATCTCAAGATTACCTCAAGAAGATAAGACGAGGGAAGGTGATCAAGATATCTCCCCTCTTCTCAGTAAGGGAGAACTGACTCTCAACATCTCCTACAACAAGGAGACTCAAACCCAAAAGGACAATGTACAAAATATTGATGAAGAAACATCAAGTTAACCTTGCCTTACGGCCGCGTACTATACCACTGTACCATCGCTGAAGTGAACAATTCATACAACCAGATTTCTATTGATATATATACGTTAATGATTTCTTATGTATATTTATTAAGATAATTTGATTTCAGAGTGTAGCTGTGTAAAATATTAATGTACAGAGAGGAGGTGCAATCTCTAAGCCTCCGGGCAACAATGTCAAAAAATTAAGTAGGTTCTGCGCACGTATCAGAATCCCTGAAAGTAAATTTGGTTCATTGTGTACATACAATGAGGTAAGTTTTGACGCATTGTCTGCGTACAATAAGATAAAGTTGACGTATTGTTTGCATACAATAAGGTTCAGAATCTCGACGCCTGGGATCAGCGCAACATGGGGCCATGAAGACATCATTGAAGGAGATTTTCACCTTCAAGGGTACCGTCCGCCTTTCAGTAAGAACACAACAACAACAAGAGCAGGTGTCGACCTATGTATAAAAGAGGACTTGATAGCAACTAACAATGAGGAATTAAACAATCATTGGACGCTCAGATTCTTCATACCGCAATGTAAGAACGCAAAATAGGAGAAAAATGACAGTGGGAGAATGCTTTAGGGTAGACACAGCAATAGCAGAGAAAGTTACCGATTTGCGTAAGTTGCAGCTGAAGTCCAAGATCTTACAATGTGAGATTATAACCATGAGACAATAGATTTTGGTAAGTCTAATATCGCTAATAGAGAGCATATTCGTCTGCATATTCTTGACATAGTACATGACGCTTTTTCCATACAAAATGTGGCAAAGCCCTCCCGAGATTACAGCATTATAGATCTTGGGCTAATATCAGAAGAGAGCATGATGGATTAAATACAGTCAGGAGAGAAGCTATCCATATCATGTGAACTATATCCTGAGATGGATTACAATTCCAGAAATCCATACTAAGGGTCCAGGACGATAACATCTTTGACTGCCTGCTAGAAAGACTATCACAGTGCGAGAGAGAAATTACTAAATACCTCCTAATATATCAATATATAGAAGTATCATGGTAGAATTTCATTAAGGTTATCATTGAACTTGTTCAAAAATATGTGCCAATGAAGAGAGGAAATAAAAAAAGAACTAGATCGATGCCAAATGGTAGAGGGAGCTTTAGTAACTAAACACCATCTCAGGAAGAAGTATTTTGTGATGTATACAAAATATCATCTAATTACACTTCCAATTAAGTCAGATCAGCCAAAGGAAACTATTAAAAAATGCTTGCTAAAATATTAACAATAATTCAAAGTACTTTTAGGCCTAAATAACGAGCAAAACGAAAGGTTCGATAGAAGGCTTGAAGGCTGAGACCAAGCAAGCTTCAATCAATAATATAAGGTCAGTCTACACTCTGAATGAATACTTAACATCAGTGGTCACGCTGGAAAGGTTAGGCAGCATCACAAGATTCACTCAAATATATGAAGCAGAAAAGAATGAGTGAGGGTGGGATGAAATCCGTATTATGTGCGAAACTATCTGGAAGAGCATTGACAAAGTTAAAGAAATCTAATGCCCCAGTTCTGGATGGGATTCAATCCTAAATCGTAAAATGACCGATGAACTGTGTTCACCACTGAAACTCTATTTAGAAATTATTTATACAAAGGTAAAGTTCCCCTTGATTGAAAATATGCAAATGTCACCTTATCTTCAAGAAAAGTGAATCAGGTTCAGCAGCAAACAATCGACCCATAGCCTAATCTCACATATCTGCAAACTCGTGGAGAGAATCCTTCGGGAGGGAACCATTCGCACATGATTTTGTTCACAAACAAAAAATCTTGCCTAACCTACCTGCTCACTTTTTTGGAAATAGAAACCAGCTGTTCAGACATAAGCTTTGGCTTCCAGTATACGTATTGTAAATAGACTTCGCTAAATCTTTTAATAAGGTAACTGAATGAGAAGAAAATTATAAGGACATGGAATAAATGGTTACCTGGTTGATACCTGGTTGATGGGGTTCTGGGAGCTCTTCTACTCCCCAAGCCCGGCCCGAGGCCAGGCTCGACTTGTGAGAGTTTGGTCCACCAGGCTGTTGCTTGGAGCGGCCCGCAGGCCCACATACCCACCAGAGCCCGGTTGGTCCGGCACTCCTTGGAGGAATAAATCTAGTTTCCTCTTGAAAATGTCCACGGTTGTTCCGGCAATATTTCTTATGCTTGCTGGGAGGACGTTGAACAACCGCGGACCTCTGATGTTTATACAGTGTTCTCTGATTGTGCCTATGGCACCTCTGCTCTTCACTGGTTCTATTCTACATTTTCTTCCATGTTCACTCCAGTACGTTCACTCCAGTACGTAGTACTGGAGTGAACGACATGTGGTAAACGTGGTAAACTGAGTGAACTTGGAGTGGTAAAGTACTGGAATGGATAAAACAATGGTTAAAACAAAGAAAACAAAGTGTCGTTCTAAATACAAATTAATCTGGAAAAAATGTAGTGAGTGGGTAGCACAAAGTTCCATCTTGGGGCCAACCTTTTTTTGTTATGAAATATAGATGAGAATAATACAAACAAATCATCAAATTTGCAGGTGACACTAAAATCTATGATAAAATCGGAAGCAAAAACGATCTTGAGGCCCTTACCATACGATCTACATGAGCTCCACAAATGGTCAGAAAACCGGCAAAAGGTTTTCAATACTGAAAATGCAAGACCTTGTATGTAGAGCATAACGGTACCCATCACAACTATAGAGATTACAGTCGCAGGAAAACAAATGTAAACCACACCCTATGAATAATCAAAGGAACATTTGATTTCGAATGAAAGAAAGAGGTTATTCAACTGCACGAGTCTCTGGTGCGCCCTAATCTGGGTTACTGTATCCAAGCATGGAGACCTCATCTTCAGAAAGACATACTGTACTTACACACAGAGATCACACTAACGTGATGCATCAAATGAACAAATCCACAAGGGCCGTGACGAGGCTTTGAACCTGCGTCCGGGAGCATCCCAGACACTGCCTTAATCGACTGAGCTACAACAGGGTTAAAAAGAGTTGAAACCGAAGTTCTGCTGAACTTACTGGATCCTGTAGCCTCTCCTCGTCACGGCTCTTGTGGATTTGTACGTACTGTACTTGTTTTGGAGAAAATTCAACACAGGGTGATAAAAATCATCCCGAAACTAAGTCGACTCTCATACTAGGAACAGCTGAGGGCCTCAGGACTAGCAACACTACAAACCTGACATGATAAGGCTGATGTCGAGAGCAAAATGCTGAACATGTTGAATGATGCTAATCCAGAAAATTGCCGGAACAACCGTGGACATCTTCAAGAGAAAACTAGATAGTTTTCTCCAAGGAGTGCCGGACCAAACGGGCTGTGGTGGGTATGTGGGCCTGCGGGACGCTCCAAGCAACAGCCTGGTGGACCAAACTCTCACAAGTCAAGCCTGGCCTCGGGCCGGGCTTGTGGAGTACAAGAACTCCCAGAACCCCATCAACCAGGTATCAGAGCACATCTTTATAAGGTCTAATGTAACACAAGAAGCTCAACAAACCACAATGAAGGACAGAAAATATTTTGGGGGGGTAAACAAATGGTAAACAAATACTTCAATTTAAAGTTCTGTTGTAAAACATCTAAAGGAATAATGAGAGGGAACATTGACAAGCCGCCGGCTTTCTGTTCCTTTCGAGGCCACTAGATATGGTGGCCCTCAGGTAAATTCAGACATAGCATGGACATATCCACATGTTTGATACAAGAATCGCCAAACTTGATGTGTTAGTTAATGTGACGAAAAGGAAGATCGTAATCAGGTTTGAGTGATGCTATATTAAATTACAGCTCCTGGAATCCTGCCTTTAACCAGAATTATTTTGGATCAGTACCCATATTCGAAAAGTACTTTGTACGCTTCCTCTGTTCGAATCACGTCCTTTAAACCCTTTGGGTATGCAGTTAGCAGCCAGTTCTCTAAAACAGTTCCCCAATACTCATCAATCTAGCCGCCAAATTCCCTGTTTAGGAATAAAAAACACTTATACGATTCACAATTGAAGAGCCTTTGATCTTTTCCCCGAATATTGCTTCACTTCACAGACATTCTCGTTCGAGTCACACCTCTTTAAAGGCTCCGTCCGCGTGCAGCAAATACAAATAAATGCCAACAGAACCTGAACATCTAATCTAGCCTAATGTTGACCTACCTGTTTATTGTTTTAGATTCAGCTCCTCTGAACAAAAAGTTTCAAGTAGCACGGGCTATGGCGAGCCCGTAGTGGACTTACCTGGCACAGGAGTGGGGCTCTAGCTTTTTGTGACTTACCTATAACCAAATCCTAATATATAATAATATTAATATATCTGAAAATAATAGAGTTGGGACGAGCCTGGCCTGAGGACAGGTTGTGTAGTTAAGGGCAGGTGGAGACGACTGAATTGTCGTTTGAAGATCGGTTTCAACGGACCGTTTTCTATAAACTGAGATGACATATAAAAGATATTTTGCGACGTTTTGCACACCAAGAGTGTCAGACATTTTAATTTTTTAGTGTGTGTGTAGGAGAAATCTTTGTTTGTCGTTCGAGATCGGCAACATGGCGGTGTTGTCAAACGCCACGTGAATACTACATATGGTAAGATTCTCTTTTTTTATCTTAAAATTAAACGGGAACGTTTTCGAGGGGGGGAATTATTAGGGGAAAAGTACCAAGCCATTTCGACTATATAACACATTAGAAGGGGACAGGATAAGAATTTGGAATGTACCGGGGGTAAGGAATGGTGCCCAACCACTTAGACGGTCGGGGATTGAACGCCGACCTGCATGAAGCGAGTCTTTTTTTTCGAGTGACATTTTAAAATTGTTAGTTGGTGTTGTGTCCGTCAGGGTGAGTGTGGCGCTGCTGGTAGTGTCGTGCCTGGCTGGCTGCGGCTACTGGCGGAGGAGGAAGATATACGAATCCTCAGCCTCCCAAACTCTCGGGCACGCCCACGCATACACTACGCCTACGCCCTCAGACGACACGCCCATGTACGGTCCGCCCTTGCCCTTCCTGCCGCCCACTCCCTATCCGGCCCCGCCGCCCTACAGCGAGGCAGCTAGGCCTTCTTTTGACCCCCTGGAGCAACATTTCTACGACGCCATGTTGGCAGGTAGGTGGCGCCCCACACTTATATATACATACACTATACGCAACATTCGTTAGATCAAATCGTAAATGTCCAGCACCAACATACATTAGACCAGTTCCTAAATCTGCAGTGCCAGCATCATGACAGCTAACACAGCCTGGCCAGGGGTCGGGGCAACTTCTGATACATCCAGGCCAGGGGTCGTGACACATCCAGGCCAGGGATCGTGACATATCCAGCCCAGGGATCGTGACATATCCAGCCCAGGGATCGTGACATATCCAGGCCAGGGATCGTGACACATCCAGGCCAGGGATCGTGACACATCCAGCCAGGGATCACGACACATCCAGGCCAGTGGTCGTGACACATCCAGGCCAGGGGTCGTGACACATCCAGGCCAGGGATCACGACACATCCAGGCCAGGGATCACGACACATCCAGCCCAGGGATCGTGACATATCCAGGCCAGTGGTCGTGACACATCCAGCCCAGGGGTCGTGACACATCCAGGCCAGGGATCATTGACACATCCAGGCCAGGGATCATTGACACATCCAGGCCAGGGATCGTGACATATCCAGGCCAGTGGTCGTGACACATCCAGCCCAGGGATCACGACATATCCAGGCCAGTGGTCGTGACACATCCAGGCCAGGGATCATTGACACATCCAGGCCAGGGATCATTGACACATCCAGGCCAGGGATCACGATATATCCAGGCCAGTGGTCGTGACACATCCAGGCCAGGGATCGTGACACATCCAGGCCAGGGATCATTGACACATCCAGGCCAGGGATCACGACACATCCAGGCCAGGGATCATTGACATATCCAGGCCAGGGATCATTGACACATCCAGGCCAGGGATCGTGACACATCCAGGCCAGGGATCGTGACACATCCAGCCCAGGGATCATTGACACATCCAGCCCAGGGATCATTGACACATCCTGGCCAGCGTTCAGATTTCGAGAACATTACTCATGATGACCAACATAAGAAAGTCCAGCAAGGCTCTTCCTCTCAGGTTACCCCATTACAACATATGACCTTCCATATAACCTTCTCACAACCCCCGCTCCCCTAGGCCGCTGGCCATGTTGTAAACAATCCTTGACAATTACACAATCGCAAAGCAGGCACTGCGGGCAGGTTGGGGGTTTAACCTTCGACAAGCCGCCGCCTTTATGTCCCCGTCGAGGCGACTATAGAGAGATGGTGGCCCCTGGAAGAAGGGGGGGCTCTCTGTCATTCTCGAAGCCACTAGATGGTCCTCAGGAAATTAAAAATGCACAAATTCTTTTCCCCCTGTTTTCCTTTTGCAGGTCGAAGCGTGTATGACTTCTACGATCGTCGGCACCCAAATGCCTACTACGATCGCTATTTCCTGCCAGACGATACCTCTTCGAGCGAGACGACATCGTTACTGTCCTATCGCCTTCACCGATCCTGTTCCACCCACTTGCCTCGCCATCATTCTCTCAGGAAGTGTGATATGCTTGCTCCACCGCCTTACTCTGAGGTGAGTATGTTCTTCCACATCCCTATGCTGCTCCACCGCCTTACTCTGAGGTGAGTATGTTCTTCCACATCCCTATGCTTGCTCCACCGCCTTACTCTGAGGTGAGTATGTTCTTCCACATCCCTATGCTGCTCCACCGCCCTACTCTGAGGTGAGTATGTTCTTCCACATCCCTATGCTTGCTCCACCGCCTTACTCTGAGGTGAGTATGTTCTTCCACATCCCTATGCTGCTCCACCGCCCTACTCTGAGGTGAGCATGTTCTTCCACATCCCTATGCTGCTCCACCACCTTACTCTGAGGTGAGTATGTTCTTCCACATCCCTATGCTGCTCCACCGCCTTACTCTGAGGTGAGTATGTTCTTCCACATCCCTATGCTGCTCCACCGCCTTACTCTGAGGTGAGTATGTTCTTCCACGTGCCTCAGCTTGGTCCCGGGGCTCAGAGGGGTAGATAATCAGTGTTCCTATTATACAGAAAGAGGGGGAGTTTGGGTAAGAAGAGGTAGGTATTTTGACTGAAAGGGAAGCCTAACCTTCCGTTTGTTCATGGAGTATTTCATCTGAAGCATCGTGAATAACCAGTTCCTTGTTCAGAACCGTTGTTAATTATGTTTCATTCATGTCCTTGTTAGTATTCATCGAGTACTATGTATTCATCTGAATAATAAATTCTTGTTAGTGAAATAGATAGGCTTTTTTGTTGGACCTATTAATTGCTGTCTAGTTATAGTCAGTTCCAAAATCATTCCTTTGTTTCATTGTCTAGTTGTTTCCCAATAAAGTGTGTGTGATTGTTTATGATGGTTCAGCATGTGGGTGGTTGTTTATACGGATGGTTCTACGTGTGGGTGGTTGTTTATACGGATGGTTCTACGTGTGGGTGGTTGTTTATACGGATGGTTCTACGTGTGGGTGGTTGTTTATACGGATGGTTCTACGTGTGGGTGGTTGTTTATACGGATGGTTCTACGTGTGGGTGGTTGTTTATACGGATGGTTCTACGTGTGGGTGGTTGTTTATACGGATGGTTCTACGTGTGGGGTGGTTGTTTATACGGATGGATGGTTGTTTATACGGATGGTTCTACGTGTGGGTTGTTGTTTATACGGATGGTTCTACGTGTGGGTGGTTGTTTATACGGATGGTTCTACGTGTGGGGTGGTTGTTTATACGGATGGTTCTACGTGTGGGTGGTTGTTTATACGGATGGTTCTACGTGTGGGGTGGTTGTTTATACGGATGGATGATTGTTTATACGGATGGTTCTACATGTGGGTGGTTGTTTATACGGATGGTTCTACGTGTGGGTGGTTGTTTATACGGATGGTTCTACGTGTGGGTTGTTGTTTATACGGATGGTTCTACGTGTGGGTGGTTGTTTATACGGATGGTTCTACGTGTGGGTGGTTGTTTATACGGATGGTTCTACGTGTGGGTTGTTGTTTATACGGATGGTTCTACGTGTGTGGGTGGTTGTTTATACGGATGGTTCTATGTGTGGGTGGTTGTTTATACGGATGGTTCTACGTGTGGGTTGTTGTTTATACGGATGGTTCTACGTGTGGGTGGTTGTTTGTACGGATGGTTCTACGTGTGGGGTTGTTGTTTATACGGATGGTTCTACGTGTGGGTGGTTGTTTATACGGATGGTTCTACGTGTGGGTGGTTGTTTATACGGATGGTTCTACGTGTGGGTGGTTGTTTATACGGATGGTTCTACGTGTGGGTGGTTGTTTATACGGATGGTTCTACGTGTGGGTGGTTGTTTATACGGATGGTTCTACGTGTGGGTGGTTGTTTATACGGATGGTTCTACGTTTCTCAGGAAGGTTCTACAGTGGGCTGGTTGTTTATACGGATGGTTCTACGTGTGGGTGGTTGTTTATACGGATGGTTCTACGTGTGTGGGGTTGTTGTTTATACGGATGGTTCTACGTGTGGGTGGTTGTTTATACGGATGGTTCTACGTGTGGGTGGTTGTTTATACGGATGGTTCTACGTGTGGGTGGTTGTTTATACGGATGGTTCTACGTGTGGGTGGTTGTTTATACGGATGGTTCTACGTGTGGGTGGTTGTTTATACGGATGGTTCTACGTGTGGGTGGTTGTTTATACGGATGGATGATTGTTTATACGGATGGTTCTACATGTGGGTGGTTGTTTATACGGATGGTTCTACGTGTGGGTGGTTGTTTATACGGATGGATGATTGTTTATACGGATGGTTCTACATGTGGGTGGTTGTTTATACGGATGGTTCTACGTGTGGGTGGTTGTTTATACGGATGGTTCTACGTGTGGGTGGTTGTTTATACGGATGGTTCTACGTGTGGGTGGTTGTTTATACGGATGGTTCTACGTGTGGGTGGTTGTTTATACGGATGGTTCTACGTGTGGGTGGTTGTTTATACGGATGGTTCTACGTGTGGGTGGTTGTTTATACGGATGGTTCTACGTGTGGGTGGTTGTTTATACGGATGGTTCTACGTGTGGGTGGTTGTTTATACGGATGGTTCTACGTGTGGGTGGTTGTTTATACGGATGGTTCTACGTGTGGGTGGTTGTTTATACGGATGGTTCTACGTGTGGGTGGGTTGGTTTTATACGGATGGTTCTACGTGTGGGTGGTTGTTTATACGGATGGTTCTACGTGTGGGTGGTTGTTTATACGGATGGTTCTACGTGTGGGTGGTTGTTTACACGGTTGGTTCTACGT